AGAATTTTTGTTTTGTTCTTTCTTTTATTAAATTTTGCTTGGGATTACATTAACACATTCTGAAATATAAATAATGTATGGACCTTGTTCCATGCTAGCAAAAATTAATGTTCTGACCTATTTCTTTAAAATTCTTTCAAGATGATAATAATATGGTTATGTAGAAATTCCCTTAATAGCTTGCATGTGTGGCAAGTACTGTTGGAATTAAAATAGTGTGAAGCAGGTGCCAGTACTATTTTACATCTCAGTTGCTTTAGTGCCAGGGTGATTTGTGGTGTTGGGCCTGACAGTAGGAAGCTTCAGTCTCATTGAAACTTCCCTTAGTATTGAGTGTTTCAGGACTGTGACAGTTGTCACAGTAGTGTGAAGCCATTCACCACAACCTAACACAGGTACAGGGCAAAACTGCAGTTGTTCTGCCTCTACTGGCCATGAATGAATATATATAAATATTTATATATCTATATATATCTATATATATATATATCTTGTGAAACACTTTGGTCACACTGGTTCAGCTTACCATTTTGATTCAACCCAAAATAAGGCCTTCATGTCAGATTCATTGTGTGAAGGGAGGAACTTGTAAGTGGTATGTGACTAAACTTGGCTTTGTAGATGTGAGCAAGATAAGTAATTTCTAGCTGAGAGAAACTGATTTATTGAGCTGCTTGAAAATTCCTTCATACTTGATGGAAACCTGCTTGGCTGCCTCGTGCTTCTAGAGGAATGCTACAGTATCTGTTCAGTAATTTTTTGGAAAGCATATCCAAACGATGACTGAAAGTTGTAGGATGTATATTTGAAGTGAGAGTGATGGGAAATACTTGAGATAAAAAAACCTTACAATATTTGATGAAAAAAAATTTAAAGGTAATATGATCAGGGTGTCTAATTAAGTGATTTCTTAAGAGATTGATATTCACTTAGATAACTTAAAATCTTAATGTCTAGGGTTACAAACTTTGGGAAATCCAAAATAGTTTTACTAATATATAACTGAAAGCCCTGACTTGTGTTTTGGAGAAGAGCTTTTCTTAGCTTGATGATGCAAAAATTATGCTGACAATTTTTTCCAAACTGCCATTCTTTTCTATTAATAATCTGGATTTCTTGCTTTAATGCCACATAGTAACTGTATTTTTTGTATTATGTGAGTTGTTCTTTATTTTTCTGTGTGATCTGCAACTGTTAGGGAGCAGTGAGAGTATTCAGTCACATCTACCAGTAGCCTGAAGATATCTAGGATAGTTTACAGCATATTACCTATGAATTCAAAACTGAATTGTTGTGTGAATGTACTCTGAATCCCATTTTAGAATTTTTCACTGTATAGTAGATATTTATGGCTATAAGAATTGACTCTGTGTGCACTTTTGTATGGCTAGAACAAGATAAACATAAAAATGTGGTATTGGTCCAATTTGTAGATTTTTCTCAGGCATGTCAGTCTTCTCTGAGAATGTGAAGAGGAGTGTTGTCTATCATTATCTTCAGTTTCTAAAATGGGAGGTCATGCAGTGTTTGAAATCAAGAAATTGATGCTCCAGTTAATATGAGGTCAATGTCCTATTTCCCACCCTTGTTACACCCAGCGCAAAGATAAAAAAGTTGAACATTTTAGTTCATAAAAGGGTTTTAACATTCTAGTTAGTTATTGGCATATTAATGGATCAGCTGGGATGAATAAGATAGTACTGTTGAATTTTACTCATTTCAATCAATAAATATCTGCTCCTAAATTTATTTTCTGATACTTTTCTCCAGCAGTAAAAATTACAACTGGGGGGTTTGTGTGTGAAAAATCTTTTCAAATAACCCTTTTTTCCTCACTTGTCTGTGTGGTATGATGGAATATATAATCTTCATCTCCAGCTTAGTATTTGCAGTGTTTTCAAACATACTGTGGTGGTTCAGGGTCAGGAAAACTGCAAGAGATAATGATTCTGACAGAATGTTTTAAATCATAACCTATATTTTTCCTGTAAGTTTGATTAGTCACATCTAAGTCACTGTAGTGTAACTTCAAGGACACTCAGTTGGTATATACTGATGTGTAGCTTAGATATAATCTTTACACAATTTGTAATTTAAGCACTGTAAATAAATTGTTTTTGTATGGCTGCACAAAAGTATGATCCCTAATTTTGAAGACAATATCCTGAGCTTGCTGATGATTTTGAGTGGTTTTAAACATCTGAAATATATCTGATTTTTTAACAGTTTTAGCTTGTAGATCCTTTTTGGATTGCAAGCTTCATATTTAGCTAGAAATAAACAGGGAATATACTGATGAATATCTTTGTTTCTACATCTCATTTCTCTTGTTGTCTTTTTCCATGTATTATTCATCTTGACAAGAGCCATCAATGCCTAAAGGGGCCTTTTTCAGTAATGCTATTTGTTCCAGTAAATTTATAAATTGATGTGTTCTGTGCCCCATGAGAATAATGATGTATTCATTTGAAAAATCCCCAAATACTCTGTGGTTACATTAGGCCTTGAAAAAAGATGATAGCAGGATTGTTGTAGCAATCAATGCCACTGTGCAACTTCTTTCACAAACAAAATTTTAAATGGAAAAACTTAGAGGCTGTTCATAGGATGGATGAAAGGAGCTTCCACTAGGGCCAGTGGCCATCTATGCTCTGTTGCAGACGCAATGCATTCTCTGTCTTAACTTTATTGCAACATTATTTTCTGGCACATGACATAAAGCATAAAACAAGTTTGCACAAGAACTTAAACATGGGAGGTATTGTACAAATGATAAATCAACAGAGCTTTTCAGATCAAGTAAGCAAAGTTATTCTGTCATGGAGAGTGATGTCAGAGGAATGATATAATATGCTATATATGGCTTTTTGTATAGCTGGTTAATATATATTGCTTTAATTTTTATTTTTTTTTACTTCTGTTTTGGAGAAAACATGCCATTATTTTACATGGAATGCTAAAAGAAATCATCAGTTGAAATGCAAAACTTGATTTTTAAATATATGTTCATAAAGGATGGCTCTGTACAGGTGTATATTTTGTCAGTTAACATGACTTGAACACCTGCCTGCCCTTCCAGGGACAGAGTTTTGTGAAGTGTCCTGCAGGACAACTGATTTAGGCAGGGGTAGAATAAAGTAAATGGATTCTAGATAACCCTAATTTGAGATGCAAAGCTTTCAAATCTAGAGACTGTTAGCAGAAATCAGTTCAACTTATTTTACATTTGTAGAAGATGTTTGAAAGGAACCTTGTAATAGCAACCTTTTCACTTAGAACAATCGTGTCTATACAGTGGAATCTTAATTACTGCATTAGAATGAAAAGAAAGCAAAGTCGAGTATAATAATTGTGAGGTTTTGGTCAGATGGGACATGGGGATGAATTTTTTATTTCCCACCCTTTTCTCATAGACTTATTCCTTGCTCCTAAATTTTTTAAAGCTTGTGTTACAATACAAATTTTTATCAACTTACATATAATACTGGAATATACCCAAAGAAAACATATAGGGCTGCTACTTTTCAATCCAAAATTCTTGTACTAATGTTGATGGCAGTACATTTGGCTACAGTAATTTATGTGGCAGTTGGATCACTGGACTGAAAAAGCATACCAAAGAACAATCCAGAAAAACATAGATGCACCAAAACAAAGTGAAGAAATGGTAATTTTACTAATTTTAAGAAAGGATTTGGAAAAAGTGGCATAGAAGCTAAGAAGAAATAATAGCAAGTCGATTTCTCAGCTTGTGAAAGAATTAACTAAAATTTTTTACATGGCATCTACATCGCTTAAAGGACTGGTGCTTGGAAATAAGTCTCAATCCACATGCAATCAGAAATTAATAATAAACTATGAAAAAAGTGGTTTGGGGTGCTCACAGGGAGGTTTCATAACAAGAGAAGGAGAAAAGATCAGAAATATAAAGGAAAGATGACCAATGTCAGTAGAATATTTTATGTAGTTGCTGTTGTAAGTCATTGAAGCTTATCTTTATGACTGTGTATTACTTATGGAGGCAAGCACAGGTACTTTCAGTTAGCTGTTCTGTACTAGGATGCTGAGGGAATTGACAGTCAGAATTCAACCCTCTGATGTTGTCAAGGCAGTTTCATAATCTCATAACTCTCCTGATTGCTAGCAAACTGGGGCATATCAGAATTCAAAGTCAGTCTCTGGCTTAGATAAAGCAATGCTCTTCTCATGCAAAACTCATGAGTGAACTTCTGATAGCTGAAATAACCATAAGCCTGCAGCATGTTTTTTTGGTTTTCCTGCTCTTTATGAGGTTATAACTTTAAGGTCCTGGAATTCTAAATATGTTACAATTTATCAAAAACATTATTTTAATCATAAAACTATGTGAATGAAGGGAAAAGCAACTCATGACATAAGATGCAGAATTATAAGAGAATTCATTTCTAATGTGAAATGTTACATGTGTGCATATATGTGCCAATGTCTATAATTGTCACACATGACAATACAAGATATTAGGATTTTATCTTGTAAAGACTGCAAGAAACTTTTCTAATATTTTGTCACAGTGAATTATTTTCCTTAGGAAAATTGTTCCATTTTAGTGAGAGGAGGTAATTTTTGCCAGTCAAAATAGTCTGCAGTATTCTACAGTAAGTTTTCATATATAATTGCATTGTTTTGACAGTTTTAATTTTTAGATAGAATCTCTTTGATTTTTTTTCACTTAATTCTAAAAATGCACCAGAAGATTTATTTCAGTACAGAAAAGCTTATCTGTGAATCTTAAAGTTCTTTTTCTGCCAGTCAAACTGTCATTCTGTGTTCTTGAGGCTGTTTTTTAGTCACTTCAGCAGCCCATGCTTGGAAACAATCATATCACTGACACATTTCATCTATTATTTAATCAGCTGAAAAGGGGTGTTGTGAAATCTGTAAAATAAAAAACTTGATGACTGTTATGAGACAGGCTATGAGACAGGAAGTTGAATTTCCAAGTTCCATTTTTCATTTTGCAGAGCTACTAGAGAAGACACACAGAAGAGAAGAAGAAATGGGAGCTCTCCAGGTATATTTTCTGCTCAGTTAACTAGCTACATTTTTTGTTAAATTTCTTTAAACTACCACATTGTATTAGACCATTATGTTCTTCTGAACTGCCTTATAGCTTAAATTCGGATTTGGAAACATATGCAGACAAATACAGAGCCAATAGCTAGTAACACTCACTGCTGAGTTTTTTCACTGGTTGGGGTTAATTCTCTGGGTTGTGTTACTTTCTTTTGTAAAACAGAATAAAACTGAAAGTAAAGTATTCCAAGTAAGTATTTAAAGCCTCTGAAGCACTAAATGTTCATAGCCACCTTTCTGAGGAAGAATGGACCAGTCACTATTTGCTAGGACCCGATACAATATTATAAATCCTTATTGTATGTCATCTAGCAGTAAAGTTGTTTGTGCTAAACACTTTACATTCATGCTTAAAAACTCAGATTTACCCTAAGCTCAGCTTTGGAATAGTATTTAAGCATTGCAGTCAAAGAAAACATACTCCTTTCAATTTGAAATGGCTAAGAAAGGAAAAACAGGCTGGAATGTCTGAATTGTGAGCCTCAGGAGCCTGTGAGGGAGGGTAACGTGTGTATTCAGAATATAGAAAGAAAAAAAGTAATTTTTAACAACAAATTGCTGCGAACAATACTCAGTATGAACAAAAAAAAAGTTTACATGTAATATGAAGTGTATCAATGAGTCAGCATTCTGTAAGTGTACTGAAAGCAGGACATCTGTGAGGGAATTGATGAAGATAAGGCTCATAAGGAAAATGACATTATGTATTGACCTGAGTTTTGACCATAGGAGTTTGTTTGAAGATAAGCCTTCTCTTTTCATGTAATAAATAGAAGGCATTTTGAGGGCTAGAGGTATCAAAGAAGTTAGTGTACAAACTGTTTGATCCAGTAAGAAGAGACAAGTTGCAAGACCCAGAAGTTGCACAACACGCCAATCCAGCTGTTTCCTGTTCAAACAAAAATCTTGGCCTGGCTTTCTGGCAGCTCAAGTTCAACAAGGCTGAGAGCTTGTCTGCGTAAGCAGTTTACACAGGTGCATATCTGGTTACATCAATGTAAAAAGATCTCCTTTCATGTGAAGCAATTCTGCATCTGCTTTCATGTGAAGTTTCATGGTTGACAAATTGTTCTAATGATATTACTTCTGATTGAATGAGGAGTAATTTTAGACTGCAGGAAGTTGCATCATAGTAGTGTCTTGCATGGCTATATGTGCCTGCCTGTGTGTCATGTTCCTGATTAAATTGCTTTATTCCTTTCCCTAGCTGGCAGTTCTGGTTAAGTGTGTGAATTGTAGTGCTCTGGCTGCTATTATTTCATATTCAAATGCTTGATAGCAGTTTTTTCTCCCTTCAGGTATCCATGCTTTCACAGTCAAGTGGTGTATAAATTATCCATGGTAAATTTCCTAATACATTAGATGCTAGTCCAGAAAATTATCTGCTGAGATTGTAAGAGTTTATTATACTTTTAGAATTTGGCAACTATATCATGCACTTTATTTAACGCATGAGTCATTTTGAAAACACTCTTTATTCTATTATTGGAAACATCCTCACTCTAAGACCTTTTTTTCAAAGTAGTCCTCTTTAAATGGAAAAAATTATTTGAATTGATGTTCATTATCACCAGAAATTTATGAGAACATGTAAATACCATCTTTTTTATCATAATGAGTATGTACTTTGTTGCAGAATCTTTAAATAAATGTGAGTCGTTGCCACTGCAATTTTGTGGAGGAACAAACATCTCAGAATAAAAATTTCTGAGTTTTCAATATAGTACTTCTTGTCATAAGTTTGTTCTGATGCATGGAAATAATCTATATCTCAGATCTGCTTCTGAGGAAGAATAAAGATTTTAGCAGGTGATAAACTACCTTGCCTGAGAAAAAAATAGAGTAATATTTGAGTAAAGTGAGAGTTCCTGTAATGTCTTAATGGTCACGTACTCTAAATGTGGACTCACCTAAACACTTGAATATATGTTTTGTCAAATAACTTAAAATACTATACTTAGTCAGTATATCGTACCAGAGTACACTATCTTGATTTTACTAACTTCATGCTTTTCTCAAAAAATACTTCACAATGGAAAAGAACGTTGAAATCTATACAGGAAACTAGTTAATTCTGGGTTCTCTGTATTTTGTGCTGGATTAAAACTGACATAAGTTTGTTTTATTTGTTTGACTAATGTCATCCTGTTATTAATAAAATATTATTCAGAGCTATTTCTGGATGAAAGAATAATGATATAGAATTTACTTTTTCGTTTTCTAAGGAAATGCGTAAAAGAAAACTAAGCCTGGTGCTAAGATGATATGAATTCCAAATCATGCTAGATTTACAGTCAGAGAAGATCAAAAAAAGAAATCATTTTTTGGGATATGAAAGAGTGAAATCACCAATACTGAAAATCTAATGCACTAATTGAAAAAAATATATTGTGGAATAATTTTTGTCAAATCCTTTCTCACCTTGTTTCTGGGTGGTTTCTTATTTCTGGGGCAAATTTCTAAGTAGAATAGTATGATAAAGACATCCAGTGAAGTACAACAGTTCCTACTCAGTGAGTTTTTTACAAAAAACTGTATGTATGAGACCACCAAAACCCCAAAAGGAATCCTATTCATCATTCTTTGACTTACACTGTGTTTATATTCTTCGATTTCTAATGGCATCTTGTATTTTGCTTTTAGGAACGTATTATGGCCTTAGAAATGGTAAGTTTCTTAAATTAATTTCCAAACCAATCCCAATTACATTGCTGATAATTTGTCTGAATTATGAAAATATTTTTTATAGATTTTTTTAATAAGCTTGTAGTTCTGGATTTTTAACTGTCATTTTACTTTTAAGAGAAGATGTGAAAATTTTGCACTGCAGCTCTTTGTGTAGATTTTTACTACAGTACTCATGTACTCATTATGTGAAATACTGTGTATTTCAGTGTTGTCATTTTTCTATACAGTTCAGTCCTCATCCCATCCCTGGGAAGAGAAATGTTGTAGATTTTATCCATACAAAAGATGTTATTTTTCTAACACCTCTAATGGTTGGGGTCCATGTGATAGATGTAATTATTTCAGTGGCTACTCTCTCTGCTTATTTGTTTGGTCAGGGAGGTGCAGGACAGAATCAGTTCATCTGCCCATATCCACACTGCAACTAAGAGAGTAAAGGAATGTAATTTTAACCACTAATTAATATAATTTAATATGACATTAAGTTGGGAGAACAAAACTTTATGCCTGTACATGCCATGAATGCATTTTCCAGATGTCCCAAGGTAGTCAGTCCATCAGGTGGAATAGCTGGAAGGAGTTTCAGCTTGCCCTATAATTTTGGAACCATTCTTCTTTCCCTTCATGTAGGAATGTCAAATAAGATATCACAAATTGTATGTATCAGGCCCATAGTTTCTTTTCATGAGAAATCCAGAAAATTTCATCTAAAGAAATCACTACTGAGACAATATCAATGCTGCAAGTATAAACTTCTCAAATTTATTTGTGCAAATTATTACTTTATTACTTTATTCTTTCTGATAGTCTCTGCAACTGCAAAAACAGTTTCTGAGTTCAAAAATATATTTTAAATTTATTCAATCTGTTCTAAAAATCTTTCATTCAGTCATGAAAGGCCCTTTGGAAATCAGTGCTGTGCTACAGCACCTGCCTTGTGGAAGCAGGTAGCTAATGCTGGCATTCAGTGTCTTAACACTTCACATGGTGCTGTGTCAGGTATTGACAGGACATTAATTCTGTTCAGGACCTTCTCTTATTCATGGTTTGCTTACATGACAACCAGCCAGGCATGTATCCATTGACATCCATTTCTCACAAACCATGAGTTAAACTGCCTGCAAATTCCCTGGCCTTTCTGCTCCCAGAGCTATTTTGACACAGGCAGAGGACAGTTGCTTGCAAATCCACCAATGTAATGCAAATTCAGTCCATATTTTGTGACAAATGTTTCTTTGTATTTTTTCTGGAGCTTTTCTTCTTTTTATACTTCCAATGTCTCCAATTTTAGAAAGGAATATTTGTAAGTTGTTTGGATAGAAGAAAAGGATGACCTATTTATCCTGCTATCCCACTGTTCTCCCTTTCTCTACAATCTACTCACTTCTAACTCCTTCAGTTGCCAGTAAAATTGTTGTAGTGGCCATGAGATGAACTTGACAACTTAGATAATTAAAAAAAAAAACAGTTGGGAAATAAATGTATAATGAACCTTTCAGATTCCATTCAGACCGCTGGGTGAATTAACCTTCCAGACATAGCTTAACCTAACTCAGTGAATTTGTGGGTTGCAGCAAACAAGGAGGTCCCCTGCCTCTCTCTGAGCCCTGTCAGCTCCTTCTCCTCTCAGCAGTTGTGTTTGAGCTTGACGCTCCATCTCCTGTCTACAGTACCAGGCAGTTTCTTGCATCTTCTATTTCCTTAGCCAGCTCCTGTTTCTAGAGGAAAGTGCTGTTATCATGAACCTCCTTCAAGATATTACACATGATCTGATCACTCCCTTCAGGAGCCTGAGAACAAATAGTACCCATTTAGAAGAAGCTTTTGGATATTTTGGTTCTTTTTTTCAATCAGGTCAATTTTGCTCTATGATTCAATAGATAGGTATGCCACTTGTTGCTCCAGCACGTTGTGCAGGTCAGGAGCAGAAGCTGGCAGGTAAGGAAGAGCAAGGTTTGTTAGGCAGACTCTCTGGTGGATATAAAAGGAGCTGAAGAACCTAGATGTTTTCTGGAATAACCCTTCAACTCTTGAGAAGTGCCAGAGGAGCAACAAGCATAGGCAAAACTGAGGTTTTGAGTATCTAGAGATTGTGGGTTTTTGGCTTTTTTATTTGGTTTAACGCTGTTAATTAAAGTGAATTCAATTATTTCATAGCTATTAACAAGTAAATATCCTAGTGACTTTAGTAATCAATAATTTAGTCTGACATCTTGAGAGAATTAATATGATTTATCTTTCAATTAAATGAGTTCTTTTATTCCTAAGTATACTTTAGTTGTTATATACAAGATTTGGCTCTGTATTATTTATAGAGAAAGGTGTATGATTTTTTGGGAAAAAAATCTGCATTGTATTCTCAGATAAGGCCACAAAGGAAAGTGTATTTATTTCTCATAAAGATGTCAGGATGCATTTTTTAGGTGTACACTGCTACTATGCTGTGCTTGGGATTTTAGTGGATTTCTAGAGAATATATACCGTTCTTTGTGAGCATAAGCTGCAAGTTATGTTCCTCTGCTTTACTAGTACTAATCTGACGTACAAGACTGCAAAAATTAATTTTAAATCAACCACGTCCTGAAGTTATTCCAGTGAACATATGCATTCTATATCCTTTGATCAATAAAACAGCTTGTTGCTTTCAGTAGAGAACTCAGAATGAGGTTCCCACTTTCTTAGAATACTTGGATCAGACTTTTCTGGACACAATTCAGCTTTTTGTTACAATGTCCATAAATCTAGGTTAAGCCAGTAATGCTGTAAGTATTCAGCAAAATTTTAATTTAATATGAATTTTTGGTTCAGTATGAACATTTATGCATTTTGTTGTAATGCATTTTTATGTTAAAGAAAGTAAGGTTTTGAATACCAGTAAAACAAATTTCTGTCTGCATCCACTCAGCAATGTAAAAGTTATTAGATTATTCTCCTGTAGTAGCAGGCTCAAATTTACATCAGTTTTATGGTTTATCATCCAATTTAAAAGAAGAATTGGAAGAATAAGAATACCAAATGCATTTTGTAGAGAGATTATGTGACTGCCTGACACCATCCATTTTTATGTGCTTGTTCTCCCTCTCTGTCTCTCTCTCCGTGTGCATTCCATCAATAAGCAAATCTTGCTGTTATCTCTTGAGATTATTTCATGATTTTCATACTTTGCTTGTATGAATGTTGAGGAAATACTGAATGGAAGGCTTAATACTTTCTTTTCCTCTTGCTTTGATTCTGTAGTGTCTTGCCAAAACTACCATTACATCAAAGGCTTTCTGGTCCTCCCAGCACACAGCAATTCTTTGATCTTATAAAAGTGACCAGGAGCAGTTTGAGATCCTCTGTCCTGCCTGCCTCGCCCTTTCCTTTCCTTTCATCGGGGAGCCAGTGTGTCACTTCCCTTTGCTGGGCTTCCCAGAGCCTTTCCTGTGCTCATAACCACCAAGTAACTTCTGTGTCCTGAGGCTGCTGGCAGCTTGCTATTTCTTTCTTCCTAATGCTCAGCTTTCTCTTTCTTTCTTCCTTGATGTTATCTTCTCACCCTACGTATTTATTGCTGTAATACGCAGCTACTTGTCCATCCTCTGCCCCATCCTATTTGGTGTTTCACTTGTTCTTTCAGGTTTTTTTCTAATGCAATCACCTCTAGTTTTCTAGCCCTCTGAGTGAAAAGCATTTCCTGTGTTCAGACGGAGCCTCCTGTGTTTCAGTTTGTGCCCACTGCTTGTCATTGGGCAGCACTGAAAAGAGCCTGGCTCCCTCTTCTTTACACCTTTCCTTCAGATCCATGTGCCCATTGATGAGACCTCCCAGAGCCTTCTTTTCTCCACACTAAACAATCCCAGCTTTCTCAGCTTTTCCTCACAGGAGAGATGCTCCAGTCCCATAAAATTTTGTTGTCATTTGCTGGACTTGTCCTTGTATGTCTCTTGCGTACAGAAGAACCCTGAACTGGACCCAGCACTCCAAATGAGGGCTGACTAGAGGATAGGGATCACCTCACTTGACTTGCTGGCAATGGTCCTAGTGGAACCCCTACATACTCTTAAGTTCCTTTCAAAATTAGGACAATGTGTTCCACATGTTGCAAATGTTGAACATTTTTGCCAAAGTTTAATAAACCAAAATCCTTCAGGTTTTAATTAGAGAAAGTAAAAATCTCAGGAAAAATCCTTATTGCAAAAGACTTAAGTTATCTAAAATTATTTATTTCAGTTGAACTAGGAGTAGTAGTATGCAGTGTTCTCAATTATTATTTTTTTTAACGTAGTAGTTATATGCATGTAAATGTAATTTTAAAGAGAGATCCTATGAGTTCCTTCCACAGGATCCTTAGAGAATCATAGAATCACTGAGGCTGGAAAAGACCTCCAAAACCCTCACGTCTGACCTTTGACTGAACACCACCTTGTCAGCTAAACTATAGCACCAAGTGCCATGTCCAGTCATTTCTTGAACACTTCCAGGGATGGTGGCACCACCCGCTCCCTGGGCAGTCCATTCTAATGCCCTTTCAGTGAAGAAATTCTTCCTAATGTCCAATTTGAACAACAGCTTGAGCAGCTTGAGGCTGTTTCTTCTTGTCCTGTCACTTGCCTGGGGAAAGAGACCAACCCCCACCTCGCTACAGCCTCCTTTCGGTCAGTTGTAAAGGGTGATAAGGTCGCCCCTGAGTCTCCTTTTCTCCATGATAAACAACCCAGCTCCCTCAGCTGCTTCTTATATGAATTATGTTGGCCTTTCATCTGTGGAATATGTATCTGGGTTCTTCCACAGAATGTAACTTGATAGGACATAGATTTGTACTGTATTTTTCTTGATTTGGTTTGTATATCACAACAGAATTTAAATTTTGTTTGACAGCACACTATTGACTAGATGTTTCCAATGTGCTGCTACATTTTAGATTTAAATGCTTCCTATTTGATCTAGTTGTAACCATAGGAGCCCAGGCATCAGTTACACCTATTGATGCCACCACA